GTATCCATTCTGACTCACAGCGCCCCTAGAGGACAGAGTGGAACTGCCCCACAGGGTCTCCAATGCTGTCAGTCTTCACAGAAGCAAAGCCCAAACCACACCCACTGCCATGGGGTCTATTCTGACTCACAGCGCCCCTAGAGGACAGAGTGGAACTGCACCATAGGGTTTCCAAGGCTGTCAATCTTTACAGAAGCAAATTGCCACGTCTCTCCCAAGGAGCGGCTGGTGGGTTCCAACTGCCAGCCTTTCAGTTAGCAGCCGAGCACTTTAACCACCATGCCACCAGAGCTCCCGAAAACAACCCTAGGAGACCCATTTTGTAGATAAGAAAACCAAGGCACTGAGAGGTTAAGGGACACAGCTGGAAGCTGGCGCAGCAGAAGTTGGAATCCTAGCCCCAGAGCCCTGTGGGCTTCCAGGGTCCTGTGGGGAGCTGGTCCTTGGGCCCCAGGCCGCCAAGGAGGAAGCTGCCTCCCCAAAGGCCACCAGGGACGGGATGAGGTGGGGCTGGGGGACCCTGCTCTGGAGAAGGAAGGGCTGGGCCACCGGAGGGACGGCAGCTGGGCAGCCCTCCCCCAGCCCCCCAGTCTATACAAACACACACACACAGCCCAAATTTGGAAAGTGTCTCATGGGGCAGGGAAGGAAGGAGGGAGGGAGTTTGAGTCAGACTGGGGGAGAGACGTGGCAAGGAGAAGCCAAACCCTGCGCACAGATGTTGAGATAATATCCAGACACACGTGGAAGCCAGGGGCCCGTGATGTGGTTTGCTGAATAACAATAATCGTTAAAGACCCCTGGGGACATCTAGGTCAACTGGCAGAAAACGGTTCGTTCGTAAGGACAATGTTCCACATCCTACTGTGCTGAGTAGCAACTGCAGTCCTTAAAGCTTTTGAGCATCCATCTAAGAAAAAACTATTGGTCTCTCCCCGTGTGGAGCAAAGCTGAGTGAAGAAAATCAAAGACTCAAGCAACAGTTGGTCCAAAGGACTAGCGGCCCACATGACCCTCAGCCTCCACTAGCCTGAGACTCGGAAGAGCTAGATGGTGCCCGGCTACCGCTGGACAGAGTTGGAGAAAAACGAAGAAAATTCAAAATCATAAAGAAGACCAGACTTACTGGTCTGCTGGAGATGGGTGGAAGGCCTGAGACTATGGCCCATGGACACCCCTCAAACCTGGAGCTGAACCCAGCCTGGGGATCACCCTTCAATCAAACAACAGACAGGCCTAAAGTGAACAATGAGATGGACTGAGACAGTGGCTGCAACGATGCGCTCAGGTACAGCAAGGACTGTGAGGCCGGCACAGGACCGGGCAGTGTTTCGTTCTGTTGTACACGGGGTCGCTATGAGTCGGAGCCAACTCGACAGCACTTAACAACAACAACAACATAAAATGAACAACAACATTCAGGAGGAACAGTCAACCATCTGAGACCCAAAGGGCAGCATTTGTCCAAAACCAGGACTCAGAAGGCAGGAAGGGGCAAGAAAAGATGAAGAAATGACAACAGGGAACCCAGGGACGGAATGGGAAGAAAACTGTGACTCTGAGGGGACTGCCACCAATGTCACCAAACAAAACGAGTCTAAATTGTTGAATGGAAAATAAGTGTGTTCTGTAAACTTTCAACCTGTCCTAAAGTGAAAAGTAAAAGTAAAAGTAAAATAAGAAATTTATTGAAAGTTCACAGACAGACCAGACGGGGAAGTCACCCAAATTCAGAGTGAAGATGGCCACTTGCTGGACAATTAAGAGAGCATTCTTACACAACTGAAGCAGGAGCTAAAGTTACAAAATTATGATTGGCTGAAAGACAATCAGGGGGTCAAAGGCGGGGTATCTGAGCGCGAGCACTCAGCAGGGATTGGTGGATTGACAAATGAGTGGGTTGTGATTGGTTAAGGGCAGGTACATCATTGCAAGTCTGTGCTCTTTCAGTTAATTACAGGATGGTCACAGGACAACGGCAGGGCAGGTTGTTCTGGGAGCCTGCTATCAAAATTTCTTTCTCAATCATGTCCGTTCCTGGTGGTCCACTGTAAAGGTTTATCAGCAACCCCTGGCATCAAGACCCTTTGGGTGTAATTGATTACATGTGTTTGATCAGAGCAAAGACCACGTAGGAACAGACTGTGACATGTCCAACCACAGAGAAAAAAATGTTTCATTTATGGTATATATAGGAGCCTTTGTGGCACAGTGGTTAAGCACTCAGCTGCTAACCAAAAGGTCAGCAGTTCAAATCTACTGGGAGAAAGACGTGGCAGTTTACTTCCATAAAGGTTACCAAAAAACCAAACCCACTGCCTTGGAGTCAATTCTGCCTCACAGCGCCCCTAGAGGACAGAGTGGAACTGCCCGTGGGGTTTCCAAGGCTGTAATCTTTACATGAGGAGCTTTGGTAGCATAGTGCCTAAGGCACTTGACTGCTAATCAGAAGGCTCGCGGTTCAAACCCACCAGCCACTCCTCGGAAGGAAGGTTGGGCAATCT